TTTTGACAACCGCCGGATCTTTCCGAAAGGACTCCGGAAATTGGATTCTCCCAGGCAAAACCTTCAAGCAACTCCGACATGAGGCCTCGCAACCGAACCAAAGAAACATAATTGAGGGTCGGCGACTTATCTTCCTTCCCCATTTGGAGTGCCGCTTTTTGTACTTTCTGTGTTTGTTTTTTGTTGTTTCTTTTTGGCGGCTTTCTGGAGGTTCCCCTTTGATCAAGGCTTAGAGGTGACGAACACCTCGCGCCCGAACGCTAAACTCGGTATGATATTCAATTGGCGCTTCTTTGGTGGACATGCATGCCCAACATGTGTCACTGCGAGCACGAGAGCCCTGAGGTCTGTGGTGCGTAAGGGTGTCCAACTTTGCTAGGAAGGCTCTACTAATCTTCCATCTGGTTAAGACCCCTGGAAAAAAAAATCCAGTAGTGATAGATTCCCGTTAAAGCCAACAGGGGAAAATATAAACTATTCTTAAGCAAATGGAAGTAATATGGCTTACGTTGCCAACGCGCATCGTTCCAAACATCTGTGACGCTCGCGTGTTTGAGGCTCAACGTCCATCACCAAATAGGAGGTTGTTTCCCCTTAAGACTCTTAGCCACACTGTGGACGGACAACATCCTGCACCACTTTGAATCCATGGGAAACCGTTGCTCGTTGGTTTTTACAGGGGAGTCATCATTCCGGGGTTTCTTCTGTGGTGCAGGATTTCGGCTATCCACAGTAGGAGTAGTGCGAAACACCCACAGGGGCAATTTGGCTACTTCGGAGACCTGGCTGGATATCTGGCTGGCTGGCTGGCTAGATTCAAGCCCCGATTGTCCATGGACCTGGCAAACAAAAAAGCCTTTTTGGGGTTGACTATTCTCCAATCAGACACCCACCAAACACAAATGGACATGCCACTGAACAACTGGGAGAACATTCCAGATGCTACCAACCTCTTTCCGAGCGCACCAGCTTGAAGTCACATCTAACCCCCTCAACCCCCTATCAATGGGGCGATGCTTGTGTGCCACCGAAACGGGCGTTTAAAATGATCATTTCAGCAAACCCTCCTTGAGGTGGATACAGAACCTGAACGAGGGATCGATGATTCTAAAAATGGGGTCAGTAAAAGGGCAATCAAATGGCTAGTCTCCTTGTGGTTGCCTTAAATAAAAAAGGGGGGGACCGATTTGCGCAACTTGCATCCGGGTGTGCCTCTTTTTGGCCCATGCTTGAAAATGGTGGTTTTCATGTTGCTTTCCCTTCTAAAACACACAAAAAAAGAAGGTACCCTCAAAAAAAGACACATCCATATGACGGTTGATCAAAAGGTCCTTTACCCAGGGTGACCATTGCGGAAAACAAACAAAGATGCTCACCCAAGGTCATTTTGGGGGCCGGGTTTTTGTTGATCAACCCGCGGGTTTTGCTTCGGGAGCCTCTGGTATCATTTCGGTAGGGCTTTTTGTCCACCAATTTCTTTCCGCGGGGCTCCATATTTCCATCCATGGCCATACACTGGGTCCCCACATTCCCGCTGCGTCGGCCAGGGTGCAAGGCTTGAGAAGTATAGCCCAAGATCTTCGATCCCAAAGTATCTGTCGTGTCCTGGTCCCTCAGCCAGGGGAAATCGCGTGCGCTGATGTGTGGTCCGAAATCCAATGATCATTTGGTTCACGTGTACGAGTGCATTTTCTTTCCTTCTCAGGCCTTTGAGCATGGCACGACGTCAATTGAGCGGCGCCCAAAACCAACTGATGTTTGTTTCTATCAGAATGGTCAAGGTGTACGTAGGCCTTGTGAATCCTTCTTCTGCCAGGTAGTAGAGCCACCCACTGAAACGGCCCATGAGGGTTGCGGCACACGATTGGAGCTATCCGGCACTTGTGTTCCACTCAAGTGCCTGCCTGGACGGTAAGTGACTCGCCTGGAACTTGTCATCTGCTTCCTCCCACTTTGTTGAATATACGAATCCAAAAGAGGACCAAAGTCCATAACCGTCCCAGGTGCCCTTTCTCTTCTGGCACAACTCGTGAGTCCCCTTCCAAGTTGACCATGAACCACTGAAATTTGACCCTTGCTCATTTAAGCCCGCTGATTTGACGGCATGGGACGAGCCAACGCAATTCATATGGGGCCATCTTGGGTGTTCAACCCTCTTGAGCAAGATTTGACCCCATGATGAAAGGGCACTAACCCCAATTGTTCCGGTTGTTAACATGCTCTAGACTACTTCCCTACCAAGCAATTAGGTCCACCTGACCCGACCACATGGGAAGAGCCCCTCTATTTGCGTCCGGGCGGCGCCAGGATTGCGTGGATCTCGTCTTTGTCTGTGCCTTTGCCAAGTTCCAAAATGCACCTCGGCTGTTCGTTCCTGTGGCCCTCTTGGGGGGGTCCCTATTTTGACCCATATCCATGTGGCAGTGGGTCAAAAATTGGTTCCCAAAATGGAACCCTGGTAAATGGAAACATGGACTAAAACCTGCGGTCCCCTAGCGGTTTAATTCTGACCCACAACCATGTGGTGTGCGCAGAGCTGGTGCTAATGGCCAGAAACGACTGGTGCTCCCTGTAAAGCAAGCTGAAAGGGTTCCCTGAAAAAAGCGCTCACTCATATCAGCCCGCAATCCAAATATGCCTCTGTCCGCAACAATCACAGAAAAATGGTCACCCCCAATGTCGCTTTGTGGTTGACAGACTCTCTCATCCTATCCCGAGCCCCAAACGAGTCGCAATCCAAGCCTGGCAGTAAATGAGTCTACCCCACCACGTGGGGGTGTCTTCCTTCTTTCGCTGGTACCCGTTTTTTGGAGTGGTTGCGCCAGGGAAATCCAACCCGTGTTAGGGGGTTCCGAGGCGGCCGCGGCTGGCGGGGTGCTTGATTTCTTTTGTGGCCATTGGCCAAGTTCACAGCCCAAAGTTTGGAATCTGTGCAAACCCCACGACTCCCAAAACATGTTGGTTTCCATGGGCGAGGGTCCTGTCACCAGTTGCATCCCCTTTTTTGGATAAAGCTCTTTGAACTCCTGTTGCACTTGTTCAGCAAAAGGCACCGAAGGAACCTTCAGCCTGCCTGCAGCGAGATCGGCGAGCTGGTTGTAATTCCTACACATCCTTTCCTCTGGCCTTCCGTTGGCAGAAGTCAACAACAACAACACACCTCAGTTGATCAAAGGACCCAGAAATAATAGGTGTTCACCTTTGGGGGCCATGACTTAAAATGGATGAAGGGGACACTAGAAAATGAGTGAGCTCACAAGTGCAGAAGACTCATCACTACGTCACTTACACCAGCGCAGAAAGAGAGCTGGATGTCCACCAAGCATTGTGAGCATGTTCCAAAACCCAAAGCCATACTGTGGGTGGGACAAAATCCACCACATAAGAACCCTGGAATGATGACTCCCCTGTAAATACCAACAAACAAATGTTTCAACCATGGTTTTTTTCGGTGCGAGAAGCGGACACTTTCTGCGTCCACATGAGCCACGACTTCTTTCCCCAGCCAACAAAATCCCGTGAGTCTCGCCGGTGGGAAGCTCCGAGCTCAGGTTTCAGGTCCCGAACCGAATCCAAGTGAGTACTAAAAACCTGTGACTCAAAATGGTGGGGACCCAAGGCAAAGCATTCAAAAGGCGCCTATTTGGCTGTGGCTCAAAACAGTGGTACCAAAATGGCACCTTGGTAAATGGAGCCAAAGACTCCAAATCTGCGTAACCCCAGCTCTTTCATTCTGAGCCATACCCATTTGTGTTGCAAGAGTCTCCTGTCGAAGAGGGTTTTGAGCAAGTGGCCGAAATGGGTACCATACCCGCACAAAATTCCACGGAACCGACCCATCCGGAGCGCTGGGTGGCTTTGGAGTAGCTGACAGGCTTCGGCTTTTCTGGCCGGGTCGAGGTCTAAGCAAAAGCACCTAGCATCCCAAATCAAAAGGGTGAACAAGTCTGTTGGGTTGAATGTTCCAAAGGTGAAAACGGGCACTCTTTCACTCTTTTGGGTTGAGTTGCCACTATCCAAAGGTGAAATGAAGTACTGGTAACTTTGAGCTTCCCCTGTGTGGGTTCCACTTTTAGTAAGCCCCTTTCAGGTGATCACGTCTCTAAATTTCTGGGTCACTTCCACGGTGAGTCAGACACGAAAGCAGAAGGGACCCAAAAGTCGTCTAAAGAGTATTGTTCGTGCGGATGCTGTCAGCCGTGTCTCGTCAAAGTTGTCCAATCTTCATCTAGGGCGCATGATTCTGCAACGCTGACTTGCAGCCGACTCGAAATGGGAAAGAGGACCTTTTAGGCAGTTTTAGGACCATGAACGGGCACCGTTCGGAGCCATGACCATTTTGGCGACTCTGGGGATTTGAGGTCCTGATATATTGAGCCTGTTGGCTGGTGCAAAAAGGGACGTCAAAAGGCAACGGCTCTGTTCTTTGGGGGTCCCCTCCTTTTTGGACACCAGCCCTACAACACCGCTCATTCCGACCCAGGATTCTGGAGGAAATCATCAGTGCCTGACTTGGGATCCTTCGCGGTGAGGGTCACCCCGATGGTTCAACATGGTGGTTGGCTAACATTCACCCAGCGGATCCCAGTTGCCCGTATGGTAGGTAAGGATTTTTTACCTGTAGGTTTTACATCATGGTTCTTCCTGGGTACCTGCTGTAGGGGTACTGGGATCCACTGGGCAAGGTACATGGAGCGAAGTTAGAAACCCATTGATTATTTCTTGGGGCCCGGGGACTCTCCGCAAGAAGAGCCTTCACTTGCGAGCATCAATTGAATCAATTGGGGACGAGTCGTTTGTTTGTTGGGGCCCACTTCTTTGATGGAATGGTTTGTTTGTGCTTGGCTGCAAAATAGACTCTAAGCCTTCAAGTGATGGCCAAGGTGATTCATCCAAAGTCAAGAATGATGGGTCTTCATAAGATAAGGGTGTGCCTCTTTGGAGGCTCTCGCTTTTGGTGCTGTTCCAAAGGAAAACGAAAGGGACACCGAGCCCGGGGCCTAACCGAGCCGGATGGCGCCTCCCCAGTAGTCGTAGCCCAAGGCTTTCCCCACCGCGCGGCGAATGAGGCGGTGCTGCTTGCGCAGGCTCCGCTTCCTTGCCCAGATCCAGTTGGCCAAAAGTGGACATGAACCGTCCAGCAAAGCTTCCCGAATCACTCCGTTTTTTTTTTTTTTTGTTTGTTTTTTTTTTTTTTCTAACGTGCTGGTGAACTGGATTTGCCCCAGGAAATGACACCATAGTTGACACCACGTTTGCTGATGGTTACAAGGGAATCATTCCAGGCTTTCGTAGGTGCAAGATGGATTTTGTCATTCCACTGTCAGAAGCACGGTTACCCCCGGTGGTAAGTACCGAACAAGCACCTCATCAACTGGATGCGCTGGGGTCCCGCTGCGAATGTTTATCTGACTTGTTGCTTGGTAAAGATACAGGCGTGTGTCTTTTAGGGACTTGTCTTTGGCTTTAAAGGGAATCCAACAAGAAACCACCATTGTGGGGTCCCCCTAACAAAGACAAACCCACATGTTCCCAAAGAGTTGAATCGAATCACTGCGTGGTTCCAATCTTCCCCTCGGAGAGAAAACTGGCACGGATCCCTGAGACATCAACTTTGAACCTTCGGATGGAAGCCGGTTCGATTTGACTGGGATAAACCGCCTGGTGCGATGGTGCAATGCGGATTTTGTCCGCCAGAGGGTCGCTCAATGCGAAGGCCGTGACAACTCATGGTGCTATGGGCCCAGTTCCGATTCCAGCGGTCCTGGTAGAAACAGAGATCAAACTTGTTGGGATTGGTCACATGTCAGTCGACCCACCAAAACAAAAGGGACAACTCAGTTGTCCCAGGGACCCAGAAATAAAAGGTGATCAATTTTTGGGGCCATGACAAATGGGAGCCCACACCTGGCTAAGAAAACAAAAGGTCAAAAGGTCAAAGTTCCCTTTCAACAAGTGAGAACCAAGCTTTGATTCCCTACCAGAAGGATTCCCTCAAACAGCCTTTTGTGCGGCTGAACTCGGCATCCACCCCACGGAGGAAGCAGGTCTTGACAGGCGACTGGCGCTCACTGAGGATGCCATAGCCTCAGCAGAGGCTGCCATACCCTCACAATCCAACAGTAAGACAGGGTATCCCCCAAACATATCTTTGCTCAAATCAAGAAAGAACGTAGCACATGTTTTTTTCTTTTCGACACTATAGCCCGAAAAGGGTGCCGCCCATACGTGGCGCCTTTTGAAGGAGATACCTAACAAGCGCCCCTTTTCACCGCCCCCCATACGCTGTGGCTCAAACAATTGTTCCCAAAATGGCCCCTTGGTAATTGGCGACAAACTGCAAAACCTGCGTAACCCTAGCTCTTTAATCAAAAATCCTTACATTATACACCTGAACATTGCCTTATAAATGGTGGTGTCCCTTTAATTTGGTGGAAAAGGCCATGTTTCAAATGGTTGCAAAATGTATCTTTTAAGGAGCCCTGTTAATTTTGAGCCGCAACCACACAAGTTAGTCAGAGCATTCTCGCCTCCAAAAGGGTTGGTCTAGCCACGCACGGTCCGGTCGATCTCTTCGGCCGCCGAGAGGTTGGCATTCAACTCCAGGTGAGAGGAGGGCATCACGTTCTCAATGCCCTTGGGGAAGCCGGCCTGACAGCTCCGAAGGCTCATTCTTATAGCCAAAAGAGCCTTGCCGGGACATTCCCAAGTGGCTAAAGAAGCAGAAACCGCGCATAGTAGGTTGAAGGGAAACAGCACAGAAACAAGGGCGAAGCGGCAGCTGATAGAATGGTAGCTGTGGCTGAATTTGATGGAGACAATGATTCACCTGGAAATCAGGGGTTGTAAGATTCTGATGATAACACGTGATTCCTTGTTTCCAGGTGACCCAAAATCTGCACTTGCAATGATTCACCAGGAAACTCCAAGGTAACAGCCCTCCAAGTGAAGCTCCATCCAAAATTACCATCTGCAGCACGGTCAAACTACGAAGTAGTTTGGGGCTCCTGCCTAAGTTTTGTAGTTTTGGTTCTTAAATCTCGTTCCCATGTCCCGAACCCCATCGACAAATGGGGGTTGACGCTTTTGGATGGTACCCTCGTGTGTTTCAAAGGGAAGCCACAAGGAAGCCAACCATCTCGAGGTTCCCAATTTTGAGAACCTAACAAGCAAGTTCTAGATCATGTGGGGGTTAATTTTCATAGGACACCCTTTGGTGGACATCATTTAGGTAAAGATTCATGTCCACCAACCACTTTGGAGCTGGATTCCTCTTTTAAAAAAAGATCATGGCCATATGTCTAGACCAAAGTTTTTCTGACCAAACCACGAAGCGGAAAGGGTCCAAACGCCTTCAGGCGTTGCTCATGGAGCATGTGCATCGCCATCTGTTCCGCGATGCCGGTCCTAAGGGCGGTGGGCCGTGGCGTTTTCGAGGTTCGGGAAAAAGTGTGGAGCAAAACTGGCTGCAGTCGCGGGATCCGGCTGGATCCATCTGGATTGACGGAAATATTTGGATCCACCTGGGATGTCGTAAACCCCATCGAAAATCTATGGCTAGCCACCAAGGAACTAGTTGAAAACGCAATGGACCGTGATTCGTGCTTGGGAATCCACCGTACCCTGCGGTGGTTTAAAGGAAAATCCAAGAAACACCAGCCTCCAATTTGGCGTTCTATTTAAAGACAACTAAATTTCAAGCTACCGGTGGATATCTCAAAATGAGAATATGAATTTCCGTGGGTGTGTGGGTGTGTGGGTGTGTGGGTGTGTGGGTGTGTGGTTTTGTGCTTGTGCTTGTGTTTGTGTTTGTGTGTGGGTGTGTAATTTATAGGGTACCATTTTTGGGCTGGCTTGAAGGGAAACCAAAAGGACAAGCACCCATTTTGGGGTTCCTGGCTGTAGAGACAAAACCCAATTGAAATGCGAGCATGGACACATACTTGCCCTCCACCATCCAAGTCCCGTAAAGCGTCAATATGGGTGATTCTCAAAATTGGGGACCTCTCCAAGTGCTTGGCGTCCCATTAGTTCCGCAAGCCCAGCCCTGCGTAGACATGCAAATTTCCGGACTGTCTCAACCATGGTTTACATTGGAAAAATGATTCCTCCTTCATTCCAGGAAACAATGATCAGGAACCTAACCTCCGGAAAGTCTCATTGTGATTGTTTTGCAATTTGGCACTTGAGCCCGGTGAAAGTATAAGGTTCACGCACTGTATATGGGGGAAAATTAGTGTTACGCCCCCGGATTTGTTTGCCGTAGAAATTTCGTGTCCCTCCTCCCCCTAATGTCCCTGCCAAATTCACCACAGACTCTATATGATACATAGAGTATATATTTTGTCAAACCTATGGGCGAGTCTGTTGAAAGAACGGCCAGTAGAATCACTTGGACATTTTGACAGAAGCTCACCGGACATGCGACCGAGGCGCCACACTGGGCCCTCGGTGTCTTCGAAGAGATGTGCTAACCTCAGTACACGGCTGGACGGCAGTGGGGCGATGTGATGTGACTCCCTCCCTCATGTTAACCCCGGATTAATAAACCCCTGGTTGATTAATAGGGGGGTGTCCCCTTTTGGTGGGGATTCATCACTTTTGGAGGGAACACCCCCCCTAATAGTGGGACGGGTTTATTAATCCTGGGTCAACATTATACACCAATTGGACATGTCTGACGCTCGAACCAAATTTGCCTGGGTCTTTGGGCGCTGCTGAGCGGGAATTCACCTTGCCAATCGGAGTTTCCCCGAACTGGGCAACCGCACATTCGCTTTTAAAACAACGAAAAAGGGTGTTGGGTGTTCCTCAAGATTTCGGCCCTTCTTGTTGGAACACCCAAATGAATAGTAGGCCCATTGGTCTACCTACTCTTTTCGGAGGAAGTCTCTTGCTGTTGGACTTGGGCTAGATTCTTTACGCGTTTGCAAGCAAGCCTGTGATGTCCAACGCGGCCAAGCTTGCGGTAGCCTCCTACATTTTTTGCGCAGAGAGAATGTCTGCTCCTGACACAAATAAATACACATCGCACGCACGTATGTGTCAGGATCAGAGCGTCACATATCCTTTTGAATGCTTTCTTTGTTAGTTTGTCGTTTATCCGCAGTTAGGGCGCACCTTGAGGGACCTGAGCGGGGATTCGAGCCAGAGCTGAAATTCAGGGTCAGGCACTGTACAGGTCAGTGGGTCAGGTATGTCATGTTCAAAAGGCTCCTGAAAGGGCAACTAGACCACTACCATTGACCTTTACACGCAGGCTTTACAACTGTGATCGTCTCTTTCGGCCTCTACTTCCAACTGAGCATCACATTCCTGAACGGCCCACCGTTCAAGCGCCGACCGCCTTGAGCGTTGCTGAGACCACCAAATTACCTTGAGATTCTTGAGATGACAAATTTGCATTTCTGACTGCTGCCTTTCTGACCCTCCGCGAAGAGAATCCAAACCTCTGGAGTTGTGTGTGTCCTTCCCAGCGCTTGCTCATGCACCAGGAGTCTGGCCAGCTGCGGCCGCTATCCGAAGACCAGATCCCAGCTCGGTGTGACTCCCACGAAACGCAACAAGAGCCCTGAGGAACAGGGAACGCACTCGCACAAAGACACACCATGGTAATTGCTCCCGCGCAGATCGGCAAGAAGCCAGGACAACCCATCCACTGTTGAAGGAGTTCTCTTTGGAGCACGTCTTTGTTGGGGTCGTTGGGTCAATTTCCAGCGCGTGTTCTGGGATGCTGACACATGCCTATCTCTCAATACCTTGCTCTAAACTACTCTACACCTCCTCCTTTCCACACATCCCCCTCCCCCTCCCAGAACCTCCCAAAACCCAAAACCTCACAAACCTCCCCCCCACACATCCCCTCCCCAGAACCTCCCAAAACCCAACACCCCAAACCACCCCAAACCACCGACCCGACTCGAAAACGACCGAGGCTCTGCTCGGTGCTGAGGGAGTCGTAGCTGCCCAACGCCTCCGCCTTCCGCGGCTGGTGGATCAGCCGCGAGAGGTCCAACGCCTTCCTCGGAGCTGGACGCGCTGCCGCGCTAAGGAGACTCTACGTTGGGTTTCGAAAAACGTCCAGTTGCTTAAGTCCCTGGAAAAACAAGTCCAGTAGTCATAGATTCCCCTTAAAACCAACAAGTGAAAAGAAAACATATTCTTAACTAAATGGAAGGAAATGTCTGAAAAAGGTGCCTGATACGGGAAAAAAACCTTTTGAAACAGCTTGCCCAGATCTGGCCGGCATGTGTAAAAATACATATGTGCACGAAAATACATGCAACTATATATATATATATACATATACATATATACATATATACATATATACATATATACATATATACATATATACATATATACATATATACATATATACATATATACGTATATATATATATACATAGGTGTGTGTGTGTGTGTATGGGCATGTGTCAAAATAGGGCTACCCCCCCCAAAAACAAAGCAAGACCCAAACAAAAACCATCGCCGCTCATCACGCCACTCTTGCGGGCCTTTGTCGCATTCGGCACAAAAGTAATGCACGAGGTGCACTTCCGCAGCTCCAGCTCGCAACCCGTTGGCCGCCCGACTTTTGTCCGGAAACTGGCGGGGAGGTCCATCGACTTCCGCGCTACTTGTGCGGATACCGAAAATCTGGCTGGAAAGTTGCGGCTCAACTGGACCCAAGCTTCAAAACTCCCAAGCCGATTTCTGGGGGTTGCCTTTGCAGCGACGTATTGCGGCAACGCTCAGCGCTTTCCTCCGACTTTACTTAGCCTGTGTGCATTCTGCGCGCACTGCCAGCAAGACCACATGGTTCATTCCATATCCTCCTTTTCTCAAGCGACCCTTACGCAAAGCGTTTGGGATAAGAAAAGACACAACCTCCGTCACGAAGCTTTCGAAACAAAAATAACAAAAAGGCCTTCCCCTTCATACCTGAAAACGCGGACCTGCCGGACGACTCCCAGTGGCCCCCCTGAACAAGCGCGCCAACAGCGCTGCTCCGTGCCAGGGCTCGGCTGCTGCTGCTCATCTACTTCTAGGCTGCCATCCAGCTCTATCTCATCCCTGGAGCACACGGCTCGCAGTAGCTGGTGATTTGATCGGTCCATTTTCTCAAAACAGACTGAAACAACATTTGCCAACGTTATCCTGCTTTCCTCATGCTTTCCTCCGGTTGGTTCCCTGTCCACTAGTTTCGAAAATAAAAATAAAACAAGGAAACTGGTCAACCAATAGTGCCGCCTGTTCGCCGCTGGACATGATGATCCCTATGGCATCCACTTAAAGGGGCATTGTACTTGGCAAGTGGCTAGTAAGCCTGTTTATATATCATACCGTGGTTGTACGTCTCCTAAGTGAGTAACCAGGCTTACTCACCACTTACTAACCCTGACAATCCAATGTATGCATATATCGCCTACATTGGCCGACGCCCGCGTTTTTCAACTACATTGACCGATAAACCTGAATGTAGCCAATTTCTGGGGACATTCACTCCGACAACTTCCGACAAGGGTTCCGACAAGCCTTCCCACAACAAGCTCGCCTCAATTTCGGCGACTCTATCCGACGACGCCCTCCAACCAGCCTTTTCCAATGCCTTTCCGACCGCTAACTTAACTCACAACGCAGGAAAATACAAAGGCACGCCGCAAATTGATGTACGGACAAAACTTAAACTGCGAATGACTGGCAACAACAACAGGGCACAAACAGGGCACATAATGATTCGAGCCAACCCCGGCTAGCATTGTCGGTAAATGTTGGTTGCCTGGCATGCAACAGAAGGAATCGACTAGCATAGTGTAGCAGATCCTCCTGAGGACTTCCGATTGTAACGTCAACCATTTTGACGGGCTGGCTGGCTTGATGCAACAGTGTGGCGACGAAGCACGTGTGCGATAGTTCAAGCTTTTCAGGCCACACCGTGAAGCACGTTTCCAGCACTGGGTCACACTAACGCAACGCCGATTAGCAAAGATCACTCAACAAACATAATTATTGCGCATGGAGGACAACAACTCCTTGGAAAACATCTCGCAGCAGGAGATCCTGCCAGCAGTCACTCTCAACAAAACCTATCCAAACGCTGATGGGGGTTGATACCCCCCCAACCAAAAAGGTTAGTAAAGCAAAATGATGCTACGTCGTTGTTTTCCACAGTTACACAATTTCATCAACTTGCCCGTGCGCAGCTTAAATGTGTTGCTTCCTGACTGCTTGCAAGCTGCAACCTCTGGCTTTGCGAGGCAAGTTCTATTATGATTGATGCGTGCCCACGCAGGGGCGATGGATCATCATGACAAGCTTGTTCGCGGGCCATAAGCCGTCGACCGAAGGTAAGGGGTCAAATTTCCAACAATCACATCTCCAACCAAATACTTGCTTAACACCATGCCGCAACCCCGTCCAGAGCGCAGCCCATCTTAAAAAGCCCTTGTTGTTCAAAGCAGGTGTTTCATTTGTTTCCAGGAGGCTCACTTTGAAAGCATGCTAGCCTGCTAGCAGTTTCCAAGCACCATTCGAGCGGCAACTGCTTGCGACGCGAAATTTCACTGGTCAGATAGAAATTAAGGCTCTAATCCTGCCATGCCCCATGCCGCAATGCAAAAGTCACAGACTTAACAAGAAACAGCTTTGTCAAACGAGATGCGCTGGGAAGGGCTCAAGCGGCGGTCTTGAGGAGAACGGACATGACGCAGTCCAAGCCCCATATGTTTTTTTGCAAGGACTTGGTTTATCGATGAAACCCAACTAAAAAGGCACGAGTAACATGTTTGTCTAATGCTCTCCTTGATTAAACATGTCCTCGTCAGCGAATGTTTTGGGGCATGCGCGCTAGTATTCCATTTGTCCGACAAACGCTTCTCCGCTGATAAGTTCTAGGCCGGCTTGCCAGGTGACACAATCAATCAAGCCACATCACTTCCAACTCACGGTGCAAACAAGAATCGAGCCTCGTCCGACGTGTCAACACATGAACACAGCCCGGCAAAAAATCACGCTATTTCACGCTATTTCACGGTTTTCCGTTAACGTAAGCAAAAATAAGAAGACAATCCGACAACTTTTCACGCCAAATCACGCCAAATCACGGTTTGCCGTTTGCACAAGCAAAGGACAGGAACACAATCCGAGAAGAAGTCACGCAAAAACAGCGAAATTTGTCGGGTCATTTACTCCAAATCGCTTGCTAATTTTGGGCATGCAGGTGTGAAGAACATGGTAGGGACATACTTTGGTCAGCTAGGGGGAATAAACGGACCTTTGCTGAACTGCTTTTGGGTAGCAACAATAGGCACCTGTTGGGCCTTTAGTAGACCAAGCTTTGAATAGGCAAGACTGAGCTTTTTGCATGGCTGATGCGATCCCAGAGCTGATGCGAGTAGACAATCCGGATGCCGAGTCTCCAGCATGCCAATGAAAACTGAAGAGCACTGAAGACACGCATGCTAAGCTTGGTGGCTCCTTATCCGAGTTTACATAGCAATCAGTATTGCCAAGCTAATAGTTGACATACAGATTGCGCGTGCAGCATCATATATCCCATGCTCAATCGGCAAAACGCCAGGTCTGCCCAATCGCAATGCAGTCGTTGACCTAAACCTACAAATAAGAACACTGCTTTATGTTCTGAGCTTAGATATTAATCATCTTGAACTGCATGTGTACATAAAGTCTTGTACATGTGCATATACATAAATTTGCACCTGCGTAACATGTGTATGTCTATGTTTTGCTTAGTAGAAAACGCTTTTTGGTAAGATAAATTTGGAGTTTCTTTTTGGTATGCTTGGACATCTTGCTGCGTAGATTGAGCACACTTGAATGGCCAACAGTTACTGGGTGTCAGCTGGGAGTCGGCTCGGCAGGCCAATTTGGCTTGGTGCTCCTCATCTCAATCATTCGGCACAGCCAGAAACATGTCCATACTTGCAATCGCGCGTCGGCTGTACTGTTGAAAAATGAATTCCTGGCAGTTGATAGATGGCTGTGCTTTCCAATGCGGCTCAAGGTCGGCAAGTCCGTGCCTTTGGCGCAGAGCATGTTGAATTTGTAAGCTTATCATTTCAAATACGTATAATCCAAGATCAAAGCACGTTTACATGGGCAATAGAGCTCGAGGGTGGCTTTGCATTGCACGGTTGAACAATTTGCGTGCTCAATACTTAGAGCGGCTTTCTCACAAGAGTGCACCAACGCTGCACGCACACAGTCCCATAAGAACTGCCCAAGTGCACGAACAGAATCATTCCTGCAATTGTTGATTTGTTTGTTTGGCGTAGCCTGCTCATCCGGAAAAACACTTGCAAGAGTCTGATGGCGAGCTCTCAACCATCGCTAGCTACAAACGTCATCAAATGTCCATGTCAGTAACGCGGTGTTTACGTTTGCTGAAGCAAGTGCAAATTAATGAAAGCGAAGTTGCTACACAACAGTGCTTTGGCAAATAGAGCAAGTTAGCAAGCATGATCATTGGACCCATGCAAAACAAATATGCTCAATAAACTCCGCCACATTCGGGTTCAAATTTGACAGTCGGACACGAGCTTCGTCAAATCTCATCATTTGCCAGGCCATATTTCGACATTCGACGGGGATTCGGCGAATGTATCAATTTTTGGGCTATATTTCGACAATCCGACAGGGATCCGACGAATGTTGTCGTTTTTTTGCTACATTGCCAATGTACCCCAAAAATGGCTACATTGCAATGTATGCCATGTTTGCCTACATGGATTCTCAGGGTAAGTACAATGCCCCTTTTAGTAGATCTTTCGTAAGTCAAGTGAGCCCCTAAATGGGCTGGTAGCTGTTGGCCGGCACGCAGGATTATGCGGGCTGTCATTGTATTGAGAGTTTGTTTGTCTGAGTTGATTGAAAACCAAAGTGGCAACCTAGCAGGGGCAAATCCTTGTCCGAGGGCAACCCCAAGCAGTTCATTGAGTGATTTTCTCAGGCTAGCTTTTGTGTTGTTTGTTTTTTTGTTTTTTTTTTTTGGGGGGGGGGGTAAGTCAAATGGAAACTAAAAGGAAGTGACCATTTGGAGGGCACATTTTGCCATTTGGGCATTCTGTTCCCTGGTGGCTCCCCAAACCCATAACTCCAAACTCATGTGTGGGGCGCCTTTTTTCCGAAAAGCAACAGGGTACCCTCCTCCCACTGACATAGCATCTGACAGGGGGTCCCTTCAAGAGGACTTTGCTCATCTTCCAGGTACCTCCCCACAATCCCACAAGTGTCACGTTGATGGGAGGAAGGGTATGGATTTCAGTGGGTGACCTTTGGTTGAACACCATTTGCATAGGAGTTTACGCCAACCATGTGTGAGGGTGCCGCGTTTTTCAGAGAACCACCTCTTCACGACCTTTCTCACCATAGGCTCTCCAAATCACTGGCAGCGGAGAAAACTCGAGAACTTTTTGGGGGCCCACATCAGGCGTACACAGAAAATGTGATGTTCTGACTCTGTTTCAGCTGCACGCTCCACAAGGCGTTTTGCCTAAGATCATCAAACACCCACGCTTTCAAGGCAAATATACAGCACAAGTGTGCTGTGGATGGACAAAATCCAGCTCGGCAGTTGCGATGCATCAAGCTGCACAAAGAATGCGATTTTTACTTCTGGGCAGAGAGCGGCCCAAAGTTTTGTGACCCGAGCTCAGCTCATTCGCGCAGAAGTCATTCCGGGAGCTGTGAAGATTGCTTGGTGTAGCATCCGTTACACAACCTCCTCTTGGCCATGCTTAAGGGACAGGGAGAGGTTGCTTGCTTAAAGGGGCATTGCACTTCATAAGTCGTTAGTAAGCCTGGTTGTAACCAACTTAGATGACATACAACCATGGCAAGTGGGCAATAACCAGGCTTACTAATTAAGCACTTACTAAGTACAATGCCCCTTCAAGCGGTTCCACCTACCCAACCCTCCCCCAACAGGCCAGGCCTGATGGCAGTGACTAGCAGCCCAAAGGCCGGCACACACAAGTACTTCCTTGGCCGATGGGCACCATTGCCCCAACTGGGTGTGTTCCTTTGTTGGTTGGACCCACGAACACGGGTGCGTGTGTGTGTGTGTGTGTGTTCTCCTGTTGGCTTTCCTTCAAACCCACCAAGAAGGGTGCCTGAAAAGAGACAGACCCATATCCCAAGCCAAAAACAAAGGACACCCGCCGCCCAAAATCTTCCAAAACCACCAAGTTGCAATATGGCTGTGGGTCAAAACCATTTTGGGATCCCATTTTGGGGTAGGTGAATTCACCACCCACTTTAGAACCAATTTTAGTGGTTGGATTGACGAGTCGAGAGCTTCAAGTGACCCACCGAGGGATAGTTTGCTCCATTCTAACCTTGGTGGTGGGTAACTATCTTACAGTTGCAATGGAGTGGTTATCCATTCTCCACAGTCACATAGTTACCCACCTCTCCATTCTCCCACAGTTACAGGTCAACTCACTCCATTCCAACATTTTTATTGCTTAGGCCCCTGCTAGAACCCATGTAAAATGGTCTCCCCGCATCGCGTGGCATCGGATAGGCTTTGGATCGCTTGACAATGAAATCACACGAGTTCACCGACCTTGAGGGTAACATCAGCTTCAACATGTTCGGTTTCCTTCGGGTTCCCCTTGAACACTACCTCAAGTCTTCCTCAACTTGGCCAACGAAGTCTAAACCTGTTTGCCCCTAACATGGCCTTCTTAAACATCCCCAAAAAAGTGCAGCAACTCCGGGCATGAGCTGCACGGGGGTCCACATTCTGGGAAAGACCCACATTGATTGTCATTGTCTGGCTGATTTTAAAGAGAAACCCTTCTCCCTTCCAGCAGAAGGAAAGGGCACTCCATTCTTAAAGGGCTGAAGATGGCAAGCAGTGGGTGGTCTTGGTCAGGGGTGTCCGAGAATTTCCAGTATCACACACGAGCATGAAGTCAGAAGGAATCAAGTGAATCTTGGATGCTTCATTTGCTTCAAAGGGCCCAGACGCCCCGAATATTGCAAGTGAACCAGCCACGCACCCGAAACGTTCAAGTAGTCTACAGGGCGCCCTCGTTCCCTTGCTTGCAACACCTTTGGGCATCCGCATCTGTCCAAATTGGGGTGGGGCATATTTCACATGACTCAACAGAACAAAAGGAGTCATAGTGAGGTCATGGCCTAGTCACTACACATGTTGGTTTCTGCAATTGCAACGGTCAGTGGTTGGTTTACTTGCAATAATAAAACATCAACCGTATTGCACTCCTATGGCTAACAAAATCGCCAGCTCTGCCGCAAGCCACCACCCCGCTCAAGCCAGGCTTCGCCAACATACAATATATGGATCTGCAGCGCTAATAGGCATAGCCAAACGCTGCAGGGTCGGGCGAGTCAGTTGTAACCACCCCAAGGTAGACTTAAATCCAGGGGTGCTTGATGTCCCGAAAAGGGAAACCCCTACGTCTAAGTCTATCTTGGGGATAGTCACAACCTTGTGTTCGGTGCCCTCGTCTTGCGCGAGCATCTCGCGCAAGAAGCGTGGCCAAAGCAGATGGTCAGTTTGGCTGAACACAGATGGCACGTCTGTGGATGGAAGAAATCTGCACCACCCAAGAATCTTTGGAATGATGATTCCGCTGCAAGTCTTGGGTGCTGCGAGATGGATATCGTCCATCCACAGTATCACTGCAAAAAAAGGCTCCCTCATGGAGTGCAACTGCTTATTCCATTTGTCTCCAGGAAAGAGGACGAGTGGCAATGCAAGGCCCAAATGATGTGACCCAAGGCTTCGTTGGCAGTGGGTTGCACGGCACTCGCAAGTTTGAGGCAAAGGGCTTTTGCTTTTTGTTTGCTTTTTGCTTGCTTTTGTTTGCGGTTTGCGTCTGTGTAGTTGGTGTTTTCTTTTGCGGGGTCCCCTCATTTTGAGACAACCCCCTCAATCAGTCAGGGTACCGCATTTCATCGATGCGAGAGACGATGCTACGCCCAACGGTCGCAACAGCAAACATGGAACCAATGGTTCCTTGAAAGGAAGAATGGTTCAGCAAGGACTCGAGCCGCGCGGAGCGGGGTCTGTGTCTGGACAATGCGAAAAAAGCAAGAAATGCAGATGGCACGAGTGTTCGCTGAATAAGACAAACATTCCTAAAACACAACATGTGAAACAAAGAAACCCCAGGCAACCCCAAGGATTGGCAAAAGACACTGATTTCTAGGTAAGGGTCATATTAAAAAACACATGATGAATGGGCCTGTCCTGTTGCCCGGTTCGCCGGAATTCTGAAACACTCGATCCCAACCTGGATGCATCCCAACCTGTCGAGTCACCTGCCTGATCATATCCCGGCATGGTCCGGCGATGCTGGTGCCAATTGAAGATGACCTGCGTAACGGCAAACTTGATAAATTGGTGTCGAACCCAGGGGTTCAAGGCCTACCAATTTGTTTGATCGGCTCAAGACAATCTCGTGCTCCCTGCCCACGCGGCTGAATCTCTCGTATTTACGCCGCAACAAACAGATTTAGGGAACCCTGACAAATATAATCATGCTTGTAAGTGAGTGAACTGGAGATCGTCACCTGAAACCATGCTTGTAAGCTCGTATGCGGGGTCGACCTTCAAGCAATCATCTGAAAAACCGGAAATTCCAAACATGAAATCAGGGATCCCCTAGTAGAGGACCTTATGGGTGAGCTCGTTTTTCCAAGTGAGCTCGCCAACTCTGACTTGCCCAGAATAGGTTAACCTCTGACCGATGCTCCAACGCAAATGAACAAGCTGAAGGACTCATGTAGCCAGAGTCGACACATGACATGATGCGTGTATATGTCCACAGGCTCATTTTTACCTTCTCCCTTTCGGAAAAAATGAAGGACGACCGTTGCACTTGTAGGGGGTTCATCCTTTCTCTGGAATACGGTGGACGAATTCAGTTCACTTAGCACCAGTTGGGATGGATGAAGCCCAATGGAAAGTTGCAGAAAGCGCCTACCGTCTGGTGCGAAGTGGAATTGTACCCATCCAAAGCAAGCAAAGGTTTACGTAGGCCTTGCCACAAGCCTGGCTACAACCATGGGCCATTTGAGTTTTGGGCGCAAGAAAAAGCCTCGTCTTCTTTTTGGTGGCACCCCTTTTCGCTTTTTTATTTTTTTCACCTGAAGGACAAGCGTTGCGCCATCAAGGTCCCAGAGCCCAAGGTTCAAAAGGCCAACCGAAGCCTCGCGACGGGCCGGGCGCCTTCCCGGCATCACCGTTCAGGTCCACATGGTAGTCGGTGCCAGAAGCGATCTGAGCTCGTCCGGAAAACTACGGACAAATTCATGGGCGTGGAAAAAGAATGCACAGAAGCAAACTTCACCTCTCCCAAATTGTTTGATTTCATTTATAAAGGGGGGAGTGATACCGTTTCAATTGGCCAGTTTACTTCAAAGTTCCCTTTGACACAGTCAGCTTGGGTCAAAGGTTTCGACTTCCGACCGGTGCTGCAAGGCCTCAAAACTGTCCAAGTCTCACTTCCGATCGAGTGGATTGGCCAAAAACGGCCCAAACTTGGTACTTACTACTAAAATGGTCTTCCCCAAAACGCGTAAAGTCCATGGACTTAGGAAGTGAGTTTCTCTTTTGACACATCACTTCCAGAAAGCAACCAAACACGTGAAATTTGCCTTGCCGAATGGGCCCAACGAAATGGTGCTGATAACAGACCGCCCTCGGATGTCAAGAAGCCTGATGTGTTGTCACACCCCTTTCTAGCCCCCAACATGGTAGATATAGCTTTGTCAAAAAAGAATCCACTTAGGATGACCCCCCAGAGTGCCAGCCAAACCTTCTCTTTGGTTCATCGCCTTCGCGTGGCGAACAACATGCCAGCCCTGGGCTTCCTGGCGGGGTAGCTGCCGGCATGCCGGCGCAGCTGATCTCGCCAGGCCTCCACGTTCACGCCTGAGACGGTCCAGACTTGTGGGCTACGTACTACTCGGTTGCGAAATCTGCTCCCCTAACATGTTCTTTAAGATTTATTGGATTAGTACCGGAAAAAAACATTTGGCAAAAAGTTAGACTCCTAACATCCCTTGGCAAGATTCACCTCTGATCTTCCCAAGTGACTCAAAAGACGTCCAGAAACTGGGGGGATGAGGGAGTAAAACAACGAGTATGATACCAGCTGGGTGCATCTAATTTCTTCAGGAATCCGACCCCCCAAACAACACGGCACAACGACGTCTTCCTGTCGGTTTCCCTTTAAACACCCACCAGAAAACGGGTTTACCCTAAAAAGGACGACACCCTCGCCCGGCCTGGAGCTTTGCCCTTCACCATGGCGAGGCGCACCGCCACGCCTAAGAAACTGAGACGGCGGCGGTTTTCGTTTGGAGTGCGGGTCCAATCCCTGGCTTTTCCCATGGGCGAAATGTCGGGGGAGGTCCGGGAGAGAAGCGCAAAAAAACCAGTGCAGAAATCCCCAAACGCCCACCAGGTCGCTAAGAAACCTTGCTTGTTGGTAACAGATGAGTTATAAACATATGCTGGTCTTGCTGGTGCTCAGCGGGGAATGAGGGCATGACCCATATTTATATCATCCCCTATGGTTTCCTTTAAGGGAATTTTCGGGGAGGTCCGTGAGAGAAGCCGTTCTTGTCCAACTAAGCTTTGAAGAACTCTGTGGTGCTGAAGGGAGGAATGAGAAATGGAATGAACCTGGAGATTCCCTTGAAGGAAACCATAGGGGATGATATAAATATGGGTCATGCCCTCATTCCCCGCTGAACACCAGCAAGATAAGCATATGTTTATAACTCGTATTTACCAACAAAAGAGGTTAATTAGCGACGTGGGCGTTTGTGGTGGGAGCGCCGTTTTGAGCAATTGCGGGCACTTTGATCCCTCTGATGTTCAATCAAAAAATGGAGATCAAAGGTAACGTTGCTATGTGCAACGCACTGAATTCAATTTGGGTGGTCCCTACCTAGGAACCTTTGGTTTCCTTGTCTCTTGGCAGCCAGAAGGTGGTCCCAGCCAGTTGCGCGATTGACAGCCCCAACCACCGCAAATGTCATTGGCCAATTCTGTGGGCTCGACCCGTTCCAAAAATAGGAATTGGCCCAAACTGAAAGGGTACATTAAAATGTCCAACTGTGAACACTTGCCCCAGTGTATGGGTTGCAGTAGTTGACCACTAACTACTATCTCGCTCTGGGGGTAGCCAGCCGGGGGCTCCAAGTTGGTGTGTTTGATTCTGTAGAAATAGATTTCGACAAACAAACTGCTGCAAATGCAGGCACAGCCACGCATCAATCACAAACGTTCATATCTTGAACATGCACCACACAGCCTCAGCACTTTCCGTTTTGGGTGTTTCCAAATTGATCAGACCCCACCTGCGGAAAAGGGGAGGATTTGCGTGGATTCATTTTGCGTCAGACTTCCCAAAGTGATACTGCCATTTTAGCAGTTTCCCATGGATCCCTCACTCGCCCCTTCTCCTGCCACCTATTGCCACCCGTTTCAGTAAAATCAAATACGGGGACCCCCCACCTATTGCCGTTGCACACTCCCGGGTGAATCAAACTAACTCAACCTATGGGTATGGCCTTGGCCTTCAGCTCGCAAAAAAGAAAAAAACATCAGTCCGTGGCTTTTGTATTCAGACTAACGGAAGTCTCCCCCTGCATGAAAACAAGAAACAACTTGCCTATCATTCCCCTAACACGACAGTCCGTCCACAAGGTGATACTCACCCAAAAGAGGGACAAAAGGAGTCCGTCTCGAATCGTAAATCTATGTTGCTTGTTCAAAGGCAAGCACAGCATCACCTGGACAAATTCCCAAATCTTGCAAAATGTCTGTATAGAGACCGCTGAATCAAGCAACAAAACAAACGGTTTCCCGTTGGTTTCCCTTCACAAAAATGGATACTCTCAAATGAAACCTGACAGGTGTTCCTTCCCAAAGCAGGACATCCAGGAAACAAGATAGGCGTTTTGATTTCCTCTTAAGACAAGACAGGATATTCCAAGCAAAGACACGTTGCGACCGCCCCCCCCCCTCCCAGCCTGCTGCTGGGGCCGGCTTCGCGGCTTTCAGAAGGAAGGGCTGGGGATTGCAAACCTGAGCCCCCAAAATTTGGCTCTGGTTCTGATGCTTGTGGGTACCTGGGCCCTCAAACTTCTACCAAAAGGGGAGTCCCCAAATAAAAGTAATCTGCAGGCGAAGAACCATTTGTGAAGAACATGTTGAAAGTCCAAGTTTCCTTTTTGGTTGGTTTCAAGAGAAACGAGGAGGAAAACCGATCCTTTTCTTTTTTTTCGTGCCAGGAAGCCACTTTTGGGGTCC